GAACTGGAGCACGACTGCAGTGCTGTCTTTCAGCATCAGCTATATGATGTTAGTGGAGACTAAAGACTGCTTGTCAGATCATTATATCAAATATCTCATTTTCCCTAACATACCTCATTTTCTGTGCTATGTTCAGCTGAGGAAGCCAGGATGAAAGACTACTTTCTCCATTCAGCTAATGAAAAGGTACAAAGAAAGCTATACTTGACCTATTTTTCCATTAAAATAAACCTTTGGAAGGCCCTATGAAGAATTTTCAGAAGAGTTATTTCTGCACATACTTCTCAACACTTGAAATGCATGTTCATGTTATTTATCGGTTCTAGCAGACCTCTGAAAGGCTTTCCAAGCAGCATTCCTTCCATCCATCCATCCATCCATCCATCCGTCCATCCATCCATCCATCCATCCGTCCATCCATCCATCCGTCCATCCATCCGTCCATCCATCCGTCCATCCATCCAGACTTCAGGCACACCTTAGCAACAACTTTCCATAACTCAGGAGTGAGTAAGAACTTTGTAGGATTCCCTTCAAAGATCACAAATCTTGCTATTTGATCAGCCATAGAAATAACTAATATGTACCTCAGCACACTCCAGTCCCTGGGAATGAATTATCTCCCTTTTATTCTAAAAATTACCAGGCCATGATAAATAATGATATTAATATTTTAGTGCTATTTTTATACATCTGTTAGATGATTATGCAATGCATATATTTCCTCTTTGGTTATTTTATTACCATCATACTTTAAGTTAAAATGAAGAGTTACACTCTATTTTATACATGAACATTACATTTTCAGGTGGCACAGATCAATGTGAACTTTTTACTTGAATGTTAACGAGACTCTATTGAGAAAAGTGTTATAAAGGACCATTTAGTAATAAAAAAAAAGTTAATTACAATGGATATATGGGAACGTCTAGTTAATTAAATGGAAAAAATACTCATGGGATAATTTTAGTTTTCCCATATGCACAGCCACAGGTGAAAATGCAAAAATGTTCATGCATCATCTACAGTTTGCAAGTGTTCTAAAGACAACCAGCTTTATCATGAGCATGGAAGATATATTTTGCATATGGCCACACACACCTTCAGAAATAGGGTTTTATAAATCCGCATAAATCAGCACATTTTGCAAGAGAACACAGGCTGCAGACAAGTTCTGTGGAAAAGAAGTTTAAGTCTCAACAGACAGCAAGCTCAGAATGTGTCAGTGGCAAGCCCTGGCAGCAAAGCAGCCTCCTGGCCCACTGGATGAAGGGATTATCCCCACTCAGCACTCACTGTCAAATCACAGAGGTTGGCAGAGACCTCTGGAGGCCATCTAAGTCCAAGCCCTGCCCAAAGCAGAGTCACTTGGAGCAAGTGGCTCAAGGCCACGTGAAGCCAGGTTTTGAACTCCAAGGATGAAGGACTCTATAACCCCTCTGGCCAAACAGTTCCAGAGTTTAATCACCTTTACTGTTCAGATTTTCCTTGTAATGCTTGAAAATAGTTTCTTCTATTTTAGGACCACATCTAGAATACCACATCCAGTTTTAGGGACCTCAGTGCAACAAAAATGTGAATAAACTGAAGCAAGAGCAAAAAGACACCAAGATGCTCAGAGGTATGGAGCACATGCTCTGTGAGAGGCTGGGTTGTTCAGCCTGAATAAAGGGAGGCTTCAAAAGCACGTAGCAGCCTGATAAAACCTATATTATCAAGACGACAGAGCTCCATTTTCAATAGTGGTGCATAGTGAGAAGATAAGAGACAAGCAGCATAAACAAACAAAAACTCTTCCATCCAGCTATTGGGAACAAACTTCAACATGAAGACAAGCAAACACTGGAACAGGTTAACCCCCAGAGACTGTGCAGTCTCCATCCTTAGAGGTTTCAGGACCCAACTGGACAAAGCCCTGAGGAACTTGATCTGACCTCACAGCTGACCCTGCTTTGAGCAGAAGGTTGCAGTCACTTAGGAACCTATAACTAGAGACAACCAACAGAGAAGATGCAAAGTAATCTAAAAGCACAAAATAGATTAAACTGTCATGCAATATCAAACATTAAGTAATGGACAAGTTCTGCAAAACTCTAACTGGAACCAAGCACACAGAAACTCCCCGATCACAAAAAACCAGCACAAGTAAATCTGCCAAAGCAACAGATGATTTGATCAAGTTTTTATATCTTCTCTTGGCTAAGAACTGTATTCATGTCAGGAAGTGACTGTCCTGATGCTCAATGCCAACTCTTAGCCTTTATTCCACAGGTCTCTGTGGTTCAAAGATGTGTTCTTATAATAAATATACACAGAGTCACATTAGATACATAAGGGAGGGAAGTAAGATGAGTGAGGAACAGAGAAATAATAGATACTACGTGTAGCAAAACTTAGCAAGAAATACATATCTCTTAATAACACCTCTGACAATTCTGGAATCAAGAAAACGAGACAGTCGAGATGGGCTGGAAAGATAAATGAGTTTTCTGTTAAGAATAATAAAGAGATACAAATGCAATCATTCCTCCATTACACTCTTATACACTGAAAAGACAAACACACACAAAAATGTATCTAGTTCATATTAGTCAAATATTTCAAAAAATGACCCTAATTGATATCAAAGTACATTCTAAACTTATCCAATACTGATAGGGCAACATCAAATGGAAGCTTATATTGAAGAATAACATGATGGAAACAGTCTGCAGAGATTCTTTGATTGCAGTTATTACCACATCACATATTCCTCTACTCTAAAATCCCTGTACAGTTTATTCAGATATCTCAGACAACACTATCACTAGTCACACATGAGTCTCTTATGCCATATTTTCAGAGACTGTGCATCCAGAACGCAAGTCAACTGGAGCCAAAGGATCATACAGTGAATCCACTGGGAATCTTTAAAGTTCATCTAGTCCAAACCTCCTGTCACTGACAGGGACAGTTTCAGCTGAATCAGATTGCTTGAAGTCACATCAGACCTGATCTTGAACAACCTTCCAAAAAAGGTATATCCACAACTCCTTTGGGCTCCCTCATTGTCAAAAATGTACTCCTTATGTCCAATCTAAATCTACTCTCTTTCGGTTTGAAATGTCACCCCTTATCCTACCACAACAGGCCCTGGCAAACAGTCTCTCTCCAGCTTTCTTAAAAGCCCCCTTTAAGTACTGAAAGGTTATAATAATGTCTTCCTGGAGCCTTCTCTTCTCCCGACTAAACAACCCCAACTTTCTCAGCCTTTCTCATAGGAGAGGTGCTCCAGCCCTCTGATCATCTTCATGGCCCTCCTCTGGACTCATTCCAATAGGTCCACATCTGTGCTGTCCTGTGGATCCCTGAAATGGATGCAGTACTCCAGGGTCAGGTCTCACAAGAGCAGAACAGAGGGGCAGAATCACCTGCCTTGACCAGGTGGCCTCTCTGATGCAGCCCAGGATACATTTGGCTGTCTGGACTGCAAGTGCACACTGCTGGTCATGTCCAATTTTTTGTCCACCAGTATCCCCAAGTCCTTCTCTGCAGGGTTATTTTTCCCAGCCATTTCAACCTGCAACTACATGACTGTTTTATCCGGCAAGTAAAGTGGTATCACCACAGAAAAAAAAAGGAAACAAAACAAGAGAAGAAGAAAAACAAGAAACCCTTCCATTTCAGCAGCACTCTGCAGCTGCACTGAATTAACTGTAACATCATTAGTCACACCACTAGCATAATCCTTCAAGCCTGCTTTTGATAGATGAGTGCATCCTTGAATACATCCAGTACCATTCCATTTATGTAACAGTTTAAGTTTTCATCGATGCAATTTAATTCCATTACAATTAGTTTCCATATTTTGCTTATCAGTACTTGATGGTTTTGTATGAAAACAGAATTTTAAGGACAAATGACCTAATCTCTGAACCTTCATTCCTAGAAAAAAAATAGAGCAGCAGGCCAGTGACAGACAGTGTTCCAGAAACAGGTAAAACAGTTGGAGGGCTTGCATTTCTTTACCTGGCTTTCTTCCTTTCCAGCAGATTTCAAGCTCTCACTTTTTTTCTTTGTAATAACTTTTCACATATTTTTAATGTGATCAAGTATTTTAAAATTTAGTTGTTCTGAGACATCAAAATAAGGAAAAAAGCATTTTTTACAAGACTCAACATTGGAAATGACTATGCATTTCAACAGTGCTACACAAAACATTAAGCTATTTGACCTTTAACCAGGAAAAATACACTTAATATGCCTTCAGAAAAGTGAAAGACTTCTGTTGTTGACTCAATTTTATAATAATTCTGTCAAACATGAACTCTGTTACAAGTTTCAATTCACAATGTACCTTAACCGATATGCTTTAGCCCATGAAACATTCATATTAAAGTATTAATCATAGGAAAGGATGTTGTAGGTACTTCTAATCTGCATAAACTTATATGTCCACGAATGCAAACATCCACACACAAATCCACCATTATCAGATTCTAACTTGCTGCATTTAACAGAAAATTGTGTCTGCATTTATAGCTTCTCCACATAGAAAAAAATCAGTGACATAGCATAAGTATCAAGTTTTAAATCAATATTTTAAAAATATGAAGATAATTTCAGGAACTATTAAGACAGCAATCACCTATAAGTTGTTATATTAATGACTTAATAGGTAAGCCAGCTTTTTATCACCTCAGTGAGATCTTGAGCAAACATTCTTTATGCTTGGTGACTGAGGTACAAAATATGCCTCTGGAACTGGAAATTTCAGCTCTGCTCTAGAACATCATATCACAATGAAACATGCAGACATTTTGATGAAAAGAAGTTCCACAATTTTTTTTTCCTTTCTTTCCTTTCTATGCCAAACTAGCAGTAGATTTCTCCAATGGGAAAAATCAACTTCTCTCCTGTTTTTCACAGATGTACTCTTTCTCAACAACCTTGAAGTTGTTCAAAGCCATGACATTAACTGGTTAACTCCACTACTTAAGAGACAGGAAAAATCAATTTACCTGAATGCCATCAAGCAACTTGCTCATGCACCAGTAACTGTCAGCTTCTATGTTCTGCAGCACTTCTTCAGCCAGGCTGGAAACATCAAAATTTTCCACTTCTTCTTCTTCTGTTTCAGCAAAAGAGAGAGAAAGACAAGTCAATGAAGTGCACAGAATAAATAAAGCAAGAATGAGGAAAATAATTGAAAACAAAGACAGCCACCACTTATCTTCTAGTCAGAAACTTCAACGCACATTTACTTTAACAGGGACTAAATGAATCATTTATTGCTCAACTGTGTCATCTAATGGCTTTAAATGTTAATGAATACTTAATTTCTTGCAGACTGTGAAAATCTCAAATCATGCCTGGTTAACCAGAATTAATATATAATAAATTACTTTATTCTAAACATTTCACACCTGAAAGAAGACCAGATGCACTCTGAGAGCCCTCAAGCTATATATGAACAATCTCTGAAGAAGATGACTATGTTTGCATCAATGCACAGAAAGTGCAAATATGTTGCCAATCTTCACTGAAGAGAAAGCCCTGAAAAATACCTTTTAGAAAACCACTGAAATTTATTTAGAAAGCAGACTACAACTTTTCAGGGAGGATTTGTTTGTCAGGCAAGTATTTCGAATTAGAAGGAAATCAGACAAAAGGAAACAGATGATTCCCACCCTCCATCCCCAAAAAATACATGATTCTCAACACTGGAAAAGCACAGAACCCCAGCGATCTCAGGATTCATGGAAATTGTATTTCCATGAAGCATGTTAAAAGAAATTCACATTTCAACATGAACCAAAACTTTACCACCTCAGTTACACCATCTTTTTAAAGCACAGCGTCTGAATTAATCCATTTTGAAAAGAACACAGAATGTGTGCTGTGTTGCCACCCAACTCCCAAAGCTCCCATACAGCTCTGGAAGAGAGTTTAACATGAACTGTGAATGCTCTGAGTAAATGCTGTAGCTTCCTTCTTGCAGCAGCTCACAGTGTCTTAGTGTATCAAGATGACTATCAAAGAAGCATCTGTCCCAGCCCTGGTTTATTCTCAATGAGAGGGTGGTGTAGAAGAGAGAGGTGTTTAATTCTCCCCAAACAGCGCACAGGACACCAAAAAAGGAGTTTGCTCCATTACACAACTGCAAGGTAGCGTAGAATACCAAGAATATATAGTGTCTTAAAACTCCTCTATTACCTATTTTATAGCTTTTCAGTATGTAGTTACAGATGCCTAAGTACATCCTTAGGTCATCACATTTGATTATGCTACCTTAAAGCACTTATTTGTCAATTGATAATAACAATTATCATTACATACATTTTAAAATAATGTTAACATACCATTGATTTTACCACTACTAATAGACACTACCAGCAAGGTGTTACCAAAGCATTCTTCTTTGCATTGGTGTCTGTATGTGGGTGTGCACCTTCTAAAGGATCACTGGGTTTGGATTGTGAAATATTAATGGCTGTAGGACAAGAAGATTATGTTGTGTTAATAAAGCGTTAGTTAAGATATTTACTTACCAGGGAAATCTGGTAAATAAAACAGGGGATTGCAGCAGAGAATCCATAAAATAACAGCACAGGATGAACTCAGAGGTGGCAGGGTTGTAAACAACATACCAGTAGTCATTTACTCGTTGTTAAAGGAATGCCACCTTTGCATTGGAGTGCAGTTTTACAAACCCAGATAAACAAGTATTCATCATATTTCAAACACCCTGTATAATAAACTAAGATATAACTGCCTTGCAAAACAATGAAGAGTGAGCAGCAGACTGCAACAGCAAATTTTTTTTTACAGATCCTTTTGTGAGGAGGAAGAAAATTCTTCCCCAGTGTGAGCAGAGTATTCCTCCCAGTTAAAAGGAGGGCAGATCCCCCACAATGGACAGCAAATTCTATCAATGCTTCTTGGAAAATGGGGGTAACATAGGCAGTAAGTGGAGATGATGCTCCCTGATGCTCAAGTCCCATCACATACTCTGGTAGACCCTTCTCATTAAAGAGTTTCTCTAGAACAAACTTGGCTTCATTTCACTCATTAAACCTAATCCCTCCACAAAAAAACATATCAAGAGAAGAGTCCATCATAACACTTATAAAAGTATTTTCACGGTAAAGATGCTTGAATACAAGGGAAATAACAAGAAAGGATTGAAGGAAGGCAAACAGGCCAGCATCAGCAGAAGAACCAAAATATCTAGCAATGAAGAAACAGATTAGAGAAGTAGCTAAGGTGATATACATTTGGCAAAATTAATCCAAACTGAAATGCCTGTTTTTCAGCTCAAAAAAATACAAGAGTCCCCAAAAGTCCAGAAAAAGTAACAAAGAAACATCAACATGTCGTTTACTAAGTTCCCTAACAGAAAAATTACTAGGCATGCACAAAAGATCTGGAGAAAGACAGAAAATTAGTGGACTTAACATGGACAAAAAAGGTTGATTTAAGATGACAAATTTCATATGAACCTGTAAAAAAAAAAATCAATATTAAGTCTTTATCTATCTACCTCCAACCTGATGTACCTTGAGATTTTTAAACAAGAAACTCCACAATTTTTAGAACAGAAGCCTTTTTTAACAGTTCAAAAATTGAAATTACGGATGAAGATTCATGTGAATTTAGAAAAATTAATGATGTACCCTTTACAGCAGAAACAAATTCTTTGGTAGATCTTATACATGTTAACTCACAAAAAAGTCTTACAGTTATACAGTTTATTAGATCTTCATAAACCAGTGCCTCGGTGAAAAAAAAAAGTCTCATTAATATTTTTAATTTTCATTTTAATATTTTAGATGGAAAAAAAAGAAACAATCCATTCCCTCTCTGCTTCATTATGTCTATAGAAAAAAACAATAAATGAACAAGAGTTCCTCATATTTATATAAAACACAAACATATACTGAACTTCCCTTTGAATGAAGCAGTCTTCAGACCCTCCTCCACTAAACATCTGCTGAAAGAATGAGATTACAGCTACTTAGATAATGTGTTCCTTTGCAAATTTCCTGCCTTGGAGCACCTTTTCTTTTCATGATACTGCTATCACATTTCTGAACAAAAAGGAAGCTATAAACCTCAGCACAACACAATAACCCTTCTACAGGTGGGTATGAAAAGATAACAAATGAAAAAGACTTTTTATCTTCTCTTTCTCATCTTTCTTATCTTACCTCCTTTTTTGTCCTTCTCTTACAAAATCTATGATTTCACACTATATTCTCACAGCAGGATTTAAACCAACAAAAAAGCTGAAGATACACATAACCTTCGAAGGTGGGGCATTTTCACCTCCCCTCAAAGCCAACACAGAAGAACAAGTAGTCTTGGAGTGTTACCTGACTTGTTCTGAACCAGTAACCTAAAATAAATCAGATCAATCACATCAGAAAAAAAAAAATCTTGTTTCTCAGTATTAGCTATAATTTGGTCTTAAAAGGATTGTCTCAGAATGCAGACCTCTAAACTGTGAAAGTATAAAATTCACTGAAATAAAACTTTAAACACACAGCAAAAGATTTTTCATTCTGTGATTGAACTGACTGCAACAAGCAGTCAGAAAACCACACCAGTTTGTGAAGCTAGGCTGAATGAAGCAATCTGGACAACAAAGACACTCCAGCAATAATATTTTGGAAAAACTAGATTCTAATTGTTCTAGTACAGATGGATCATCAATTAGAATGACAATTTTTTTCCCCCAGAAAATACAATATAACTTTTAAGAAATATCTTTCAATGGTTCAAATTACTGTCCAGCACAGGTATGTTCCCCAAGCACAAAGAGAATGTCAGGAGAGGCCCTTCTGAAAAGAGTACAGGTCTGACATGAATTCACTACTTTAAGTAAAATTCTTATTTTACCACAGGGAAAGACAGTAAAAAAAAATTAAGATATGGAAAGGTAACCATTATCAAGTTCTCTCTGTTCTAGTTTCAGTGACCTTATAAAGCAACAGATATAGAAAGCATTTAAAATATCCAGTTTTTTCACTAAAAGAACCCATAGTCCCCAATTATAATGTCAGAGAACCACAAGCTCAACCATTATAAAACTAAAAATAGCACTTTTTGGAAGTACTCATATAGGCATCTTGCTCTGTCTCTCCCTTCTGAAGAGACATCTGAGAACAACATTATGTTTTTCTGTGGCTTAAATGGACTGATCTCTAGCATTTTCATAAGCCTCTTAAATGCAAAATAAATATTCAATATTTTTATATGTTCTTTAAATATATAAGCTACTTCTAGCTTAATTCTCAATCCCATTGTGCTTCCAATGCATCACTAAGTCATCTCTTCTAAAGTCAGATAACAAAGTTTTGAAATTAAAAACAAAATCTAATTGAATGTGTAAGACAACTCAATTGTACTTAAATTACACCCTAGTAGCATTTACCCTATGTAAAGCAACTGAGTCAAACTTCAGCTTAAAACTCAGCAACCAAACATTTCAAAGAAAAAGTCTAATTACTTCAAGCTATATTAAAATACATGTTCATTAAATCAGCTAAGTAGTATATTTTTGGATATGTCATATTAACTAGTACTTTTTGATTTAAATGTGGTGTATGCTGAACAAGGACCTACACTGTGGAAGCATCCAGGCACTATTCTAATAAAGATGGTACAGCATCACAGAAACAAAGTCACAAACATGCAAGTCCTCAGTGATGTGCCATGGTTTCCGCTGCACCAATTCACCTTAATTTGCTACACTTTATTGAGGAAGGCCATCCATTTTAATGATAAGCTCCAATTAAAGAAGAGTTGACTGGTAGAATGCTATGTAAAATAATAATTTACATATTTAACATTTACTCATTTATTTTGGTAGGCACATAGTGGAAAATGCTTCTTTTTCCATGCAGTTTTAAGGGGGGAAAGCAATCAAGCTCTATGCTTCTCTCTTTGTTTGTTTGTTTGTTCCGATGAAGAAATAAACACACTAGAGAAGTTTAGAAAAGAAAGCATATAGAAATGATTTCAGGAAAAACAACAGAAGCAGCAAAAATAACCATCCCAAAAATACATGAGATACTATATATGTGCTTGACAACGTAACTGCACTTTCTAGTTTTAAATAACTTTACA